GTTTCCACTGGAAATGTTCTTAAGTTTTAAATACAAACTTTATGTTGCAATTTATGTTTATGGCTGAATTTCTCCAAAGTTAACATCACAAAGTTTAAGGGGATTGCAGTTTGAAATGATATGGAGAAGTATTGGCATGAAGAAAACATGTAAATTAAAACTTCTTAAGCACAAATAGAACATGAACAAACATGTAACAGGAGTAGTTTGACTGTTGTAAAGAGGCTTATATCTTCATTAAATCAACTGTTCTGAGCTTAAAGGAAAAAAATAGGGAGAATATGACTGACTGGAGAATCATGGCTTAAGTAGTTAATCTGGAAAGCTGTTAGTGTCTGGCACAGACTCTAGGTTAAACTAGTCTGCTTATTTCAGTGTGAAGTCTAACTTGCTGATCAACTGTTTTCCAGAAGGTTTAGTAGGCAACAAAAAGACTTGCCATATTGCCAATATCCAGTAAGTTTTGTGTATAGCATGCATTGTCAGGGAGATATGGTTGCTGCATAGGTAAAATTTTGTAGATATCTATATGGGACAGAAGCAAACAAATGAGCTGAAGCAAAGAAATTAATTCTACAGAGTTAATAAGCAGGTGTTTTCAGAAGGTAGGTTGCTCTGTGTCCATCAAACATTGTTACAGATCTGTCAAGAGTTTATGGATGAAGCTTCAGAGAAAAGCATGTCAAGTGAACAAGATTTTGAGAAAAGACAACTTTGAAGATGGTAACAGAGCCATCCTTAAAATGTAGGCTTTGAAGGCTATTAATGAAGGTTCTTGAAATATTTTCTTCTGATAAACTATTCCATGTTGGGTGATGCTTTGAAAGTAGATACTGAGTGAGGCAACTAAAGAAATAGATTCAGTATTCATATAAACACAGTGTAGTACCTTAAGTTATCCCTGTAGGTAAAGAAGCTGAAGGAAAAAATATAAAATAACTTTGTCCACTGTTCATCTGAATGTGATGATGCAATTGTTTGAACAAGTAGTAGAGATTTAAAAGAAATTGCTTACTGTTGCATTCCTGTGTTATGTGTGGTAAAGCTGCTGTTCAGATGCTACAGAGTGGAGTAGCACATCAAAAATTGCAGAATGATTTCTGTAATTAATACTAGTCCTCTAGAAGTGAGGCTTAAAGTAGGAAGAAGGCTAATGTGTCTATACTAAACACTTTAATTTCTCCAAAGTTTTCTGTGTTTGTACCAAGCTATAAAGAATGTGTCTTAGCTCATGCTGAAAGAGGATGATGATCAAAATCTTGCCTTAATTGTATACACTGGTTTCTTTCCTGGAGGCCCTTAATTTGCTGCTGCAGTTGAAAGAAGTTTGTGTTAGACTTGACAGATTACAAGATGATGACACTTATTCTTCACTTAACTAAATAACCAAGACAGAACTGAAATCACACAGAGAAAAATTAAAACCTTTGGAAGCTTTCTTTGACCCAGGCTGTGTGACTACCTTATAGTGCAAAGATTGAGCTTGAGAAAGAAATAAGGTAGAGAGAACTGATGTAACCTAATTTCAAAAAACACCTTAACTTTTTTCTGTTATTTAAAATGGAAAAAGGTCCTAATTTCTATTCCACATATAATGTCAGGGATGGTTAAGATGTTCAGAAATAAAGTATTAGGAAGTATGAAACTAAAAACTGAAAAACTAGTGGATTGTTAGTGGTTGCTTTGCTTATTGTTGGTTTTTCCTACTGTTTAGCTTTCAAGAGTGTTTGGCCCAAGATTCCTAACTGAACAGTCAACTCCTGACTTTTCGGCATTAGGTGGAATGCACCTGTCCTGGAGGGGGAAGGGAATCTTGGGGCAAGAGTTAGCTGGGCTCATTGACAGAGCTTTAAACTAGATTTGAAGGGGGAAGGGGGCAAAACATCAGCCCATCTGAAGTGCATGTATACCAATGCACACAGCATGGGTAACAAACAGGAGGAGCTTGAAGCCTGATGAAACAGGAGAATTACAATATTGTTGCTATTACAGAAACATGGTGGGATGTCTCCCATGACTGGAGTGTGCCAATTGATGGGTACAAGCTCTTTAGGAGGGACAGACAAGGAGAGGTGGTGGGGTGGCTCTGTATGTTAAGGACTGTTATGATTGCTTTAAGTACAAGTGTAGTGAAGACAGGGTAAAGTGTCTCTGCATTAGAATAAGGGGGAAGACCCACAGAGCAGATGTTGTAGCAGTCTACTACAGGCCACCCAACCAGGACAGAAAGGTGGATGAGATATTCTATAGGCATTTAGGAGAAATCTCACGATTGCTTGCCTTGTTCTTGTGGGCGACTTTAACTTCCCAGACATCTGCTGGAAATACAACACAGCAGAGTGGGACCAGTCCCAGAGATTCCTAGAACATGTGGGAAACAACTTCCTGACGCAGCTGGTGAGTGAACCGATCGGAGAAGGTGCCCTGCTGGATCTCCTGTTTGTGAACAGAGAAGGACTGGTGGATGATGTGTCAGTTGGAGGCCGACTAGGGCACAGCGATCATGAAATAAGAGTTCTCTATTCTTAGAGAGGTCAGGAGAGGGATAAGCAGGACTGCCATCCTGGATTTCAGAAGGGCTGACTTTGTCTTGTTTAGGCACCTGCTTGAAAGGATCCCCTGGGAAACTCCTGAAGGGTATAGGGGCCCAGGAAGGCTGGGCACTCTTTAAGAAGGAAGTGTTAATGGCTCAGGAGCAGGCAGTCCCCAGGTGCTGTAAGAGAAGCCGACGCCAGAGAACACCACCCTGGCTGAACAGGGAGCTTTGGCTGCAACTCGGGGAGGAAAGGAGAGTTTACAGCCTTTGGAAGAAGGGGCTAGTGACTCACAGTGATTACAGAGAGGCTCTGAGGCTATGCAGGGTGGAAATCAGGAGGTCTAAAGCCCAACTGGAAATTAATTTGGCCTCTGCAATCAAGGATAACAAGAAAAGTTTCTATAAGTATGTCAGTAGCAAAAGAAAGTCCAGGGGAGTCTCCATCTCCTGCTAGGTACAGGAGGAAATTTGGTAACAAGTGATGAGGAGAAGGCTGAGGTGCTTAATGCCTTCTTTTTCTCAGTCTTTAATAACAAGGTTAGTTGTATTGATGAAATCCAGCCTCCACAGCCAGAATACAGAGACTGAGAGAACGAACCCCCTGCAATCCAGGAGACAGTGACCTGCTGCATCACACAGACTCACACAAGTCTATGGGACCAGATGGGATCCACCCGAGGGTGCTGAATGAGCTGGCTGGGGTGCTTGCCAAGCTGCTTTCTATCATTTACCAGCAGTCCTGGCTGACCGGGGAGGTCCTGACAGATTGGAAATTGGCCAGTGTGATGCCCATCTATAAGAAGGGTCAGAAGGATGAACTGGGAAATGACAGGCCTGTGAGCTTGACTTTGGTACCCAGGAAGCTGATGGAGTAGCTCATCCTGAGTACACAGCACATGAGGGACAACCAGATGCTGAGGCCTAGTCAGCATGGGTTTATGAAAGGCAGGTCCTGCCTGACAAACCTGATCTACAACAGGGTGACCTGCTTATTGGATGAGGGAAAGGCTGTGGATGTTGTCTGCCTTGACTTACTAAAGGTCTTTGACACTGTTTCCCACAGCATTCTCCTGGCAAAACTGGCTGCTTGTGGCTTGGACAATCGCATGCTTTGCTGAGTAAAAAACTGTCTGGATGGCCGGGCCCAGAGAGTTTTGGCGAATGGACTTAAATCCAGTTGGTTGCCGGTCACGAGTGGTGTCCCCCAGGGCTTGGTTTTGGGGACACTCCTGTTTAACATCTTTATTGATGATCTAGACGAGGGGATCGAGTGCACCCTCAGTGAGTTTGCAGATGACACCAAGTTGGGTGGGAGTGTTGATCTGCTCGAGGGTAGAGAGGCTCTGCAGAGAAACTTGGACAGGCTGGAGCGATGGGCTGAGGCCAACTGGAGGAGTTTCCATAAGGCCAAATGTTGGGGGGCTGTCCTTGGGCCACAACAACCCCCAGCAGCGCTACAGGCTTGGGGAGGAGTGGCTGGAGAGCTGTTAGAGAGGGACCTGGGGGTGTTGGTCGACAAGCTGTATGAGTATGAGCCAGCAGTGTGCCCGGGTGGCCAAGAAGGCCAATAGCATCCTGGCTTCTATCAGAAATAGTGTGGTCAGCAGGACTATGGAAATGATTGTCCCTTTTTATTCAGCTGTGGTGAGGCCGCACCTTGATGACTGTGTTCAGTTTTGGGCCCCTCACTACAAAAAGGACATTGAATGACTCGAGCGTGTCCAGAGAAGGGCAATGAAGCTGGTGCAGGGTCTGAAGCACAGAGTATGGAGAGCAGCTGAGGGAACTGGGGGTGTTTAGTCTGGAGAAGAGGAGGCTGAGGGGAGACCTCATGGCCCTCTACAGCTCCCTGAAAGGAGGTTGCAGAGAGCTGGGGATGAGTCTCTTTAACCAAGTAACAAGCGACAGGACAAGAGGGAATGGCCTCAAGTTGTGGCAGGGAAGGTTTAGACTGGATATTAGGAAGCATTTCTTTACAGAATGGGTTTTTAGGCACTGGAATGGGCTACCCAGGGAGATGGTGGAGTCCGCATTCCTGGAGGTGTTTAAGAGTCAGGTTGACATAGCGCTGAGGGATATGGTGTAGTTGGGAACGGTCAGTGTTAGGTGAATGTTAGACTACGATCTTCAAGTTGTTTTCCAACCTAGATGATTCCGTGATTCTGTGTAGATAAAGGTGCCTATTGGAAGGTGCCTTTGAAGAGATTTTATAGTGTAACCTATTATTATTTCAGGTGCTTGAGTGTGCCCTTGTTTTACTTCAAAAATTCAGTATTCTAATTTTGGGAGAGCAGTGTCTTCAAAAGTCATAAATACACTTAAAAATTGAGTCTTGTGTCAGCTGCCCACGTCAGAGATGTCTGTCTCCTCTTGCTTGATGAGAGGCAATAGCAAGGAATCTGTCTCTTATTAATAAAAGTGCATTTATTGCTGTTTTAAAAGCAACTTTTTTGTTTACAGGTGTCAGCTGTGATGCATGTTTAAAAGGCAATTTTCGAGGTCGCAGATACAAGTGTTTAATTTGCTACGATTACGATCTATGTGCGACTTGTTATGAAAGTGGTGCAACAACGACAAGGCATACAACTGACCATCCAATGCAGTGCATATTAACAAGAGTAGATTTTGGTAAGTGATAATTTCAAACTTGTAATTTATTGCTATGTTGTGTCTACAAATACAATATGGATTTTAATGTTTCTACTTACACTTTCCCCATTAGCACAGTGATAGTAAGAGCAATTTCTCGTCTTCTAAGAAACAAGTATGCTTTCTTTGATTTTAGCATGAAAGAAATGATTTATATATATTTTAGGTGGTGAACATGTATTTTAAAATATTTTTTATTTTCGTCTGTTAACAGCGGGTTGTCAGACTAATAAATATACTTAATATCAATGACTAGTCTGAATTAACTTCCACTTCAGAAGATGTGGCAACCTTCTTCCCCTCCAGTACGCTTTACTTAAGTTCCAACAGTGTACAATCAGAAAAATGCTGGTGAGATTTTGTAGCAATGTTATTCAATGGTGGCTTATGTGGGACTGTAGGTACAGCAGGATAGTAATGGGCTATACTGAATATAAAAGATTAGTGACAAGGACTAGCATGTAGTCTACTTGGAAGTCCTTTGAAGGTGGAATTTAAGAATTGTTTGTGACTGTAAAGCCATGTCAATACTTAAGATTAAAAAAAATTTGTTCTTGTCTCCTGTCCTGCTGCTTGTTTCTATTGCATCATGTTTTTAATAAGCTGTATCTCACAAGATACTTTTGTGACAACCCACTGCTTTAAGGTTTTGCTGGTGCTGGATGTGAATTTTGTTTTTGTGTTAAGCCCACAGAGCTAGCATTTTAATAATTATTTTAGCAATTTTTGCTGTATTCTTGAAATTTTGAATTCTTTAAATATGATGACTTCTTAAAAGCTGAAGTTTTATCAACTGTAAATTACTACTTTACCGTTTTGATCAAAACAGAAGTAAAATCTACTTTTATTGCTTTAAAGATTAGAGAATAGCTATATATGTAAACATGTAGTTGGTTTCTCGAAACAGTCTTTGAATGAAGATGCCTTCCATTTTCTTTTAATTTTCAGGCCTCTGCTTGCCCTAAGACTGTCTAGTCATGACTGCAGAAATCCATGCCCTGGGAATCCAGGGTTTGGAAGGAAATAATTTAGTGCATTATCAAAAATGCATGCCACCTTTTTAGCTTGTATATTTTTCTTTTCAGGCTTCTTTATTTTTGGTCTCACTAATGACATAGAATTCTCTGTACAGTATGTTAGTTCAGGGTTCTGGTCACCGAGATGCACAGTTCAAACTTCTTAGTCCCTTAGCAACAGTTACGCTTGAATGTTGCACACGGGCTAAAAGGACAGCATTGCTGTAAACATTAAATGTTCATCATAGGGGTATGAGGACTGAAACATGCTTGCTATGAAACCTTAAACTAACATTAAATGTCAAAGCTTTCAGTGTACTGCAATGAGGAATCTAATTCTAAACACTACTCTCTTAAATGCCTATCACCAGAGCATTCATAAGAACGTTTCTTGCAACTTGGATATTTCTCTTCCGGAAGTTTTGATAACCATATAGTTTGGTTTAATATATTTTATTTGTATATGTAGAGGCAGAGAGGGGTTATTTTTTACTATTTTGTCTGCATGAAGCATGCAGATGGCAGGGTGGAAAAACGTTCACTGTGAAGTATTGAGATGGGTAATAGAATTCCAAGGGCCACTTCTGTATTGCTTGGTGTTTATGCTACTGTGGTGTCTTTAAATAAGAAGAATAAGAAAACAAGCTCTAGGAATTTCGTATGGCGTGATCTTCAACCATTACTCCCGCAGAACCAGTGTTAGGAAGAATAATACTGCACCTCAGCTCTGCAGCAAGACTCCTGGTTTGATTTGATTAATGCTGTAGAACAAGAACAGGAAAGAATACATCACCACCAATTGTGAATCACAGCAAACGTTGATGACAGCCTAGTACTGGTGGCCTTTTAAGCTTGATGAAGAGAACAAATTAGGGTATATTTATAAATAACATACTCCTTAGGGTTCAGGAAGTTCTGTGACATCATTCTTAAAATGTTTTTATGTCTTACAGTTCCCTGTAGAATGTAAGACAGACATAAAAAAGTGTGCATTTACAGTGTTGGACAGATGCTTAGAGAAGCTACAGCAACTTTTCAAAGAGTCTTGTGTAGCAAAGGAGATCATGTAACTTTGAGGAACATCCAAAAAATTAGGAGCTAAGGAATCTTAGGTTTATTTACTGGTTCTACCATTATTGATTTTTTTAGAATGACCTGTTTCAGTGTTGTCAGTATAGCTGTACTCTAGTGAGTATTAAAAATCCCTAAGGAAGTGGATATTAATGGGTTGAAATAATATTATCTCAGAGGGAAGATTAGCAATGTAAAACTAAATGACATAGAAGTAATGAAGTCTTCAGTCACTTCCTAGTGATATGGGAAGCCAATTGAAAGGAGAATGTCTTCTAATGTATGACACTATGAGTAGGGAGTTGTCCCAAACAAGGAAAACTGTCCCAAACAAGGAAAACTTAATATAGTAGAAACAGAATGGAAGGCTGTTAGGATAAGTAGGTGTGTGAATTGTAGTTTACATGGCCATTGACAAACTTAAATACTGTTGTCTGTAATCAGGTTTGATTCTAAGGTATGACAACTGCTTTTAATAGAATGAAACTTACAGGTTTTGTGGATGATGGGGAGGGAAGTGGACAACTTGTCAAAGGTGAATGTTTTACCAAGAAGGAATCAGTATATGGGATCCTTCCAATGCAGAAGCACTTCAGAGGAAGTGTCATTTTTCTGATTTTTAAAAGTGAATGTGAGTATCAGTGGGTCACTTGCTCAAGGTCCATCTGCAGTTAATGAAAAGGACTTGTGTACCTCTAGTTCCCATCACTACTCTGGCCAGCACTGTCTATATACAGAACTGTGGAATTTGCTTAAGTACTCTTGTGCCTAAAGCTGTGACCAAGTTCAGGTTTGTGGTGGACAGCTAATGACATGGATAATCATATCTTAGTCTTGGATTGTTTCAGAGTAAAAGTAGTAAACATAATGTTGTGGTCAGAGCCTGGAGGGGAACTGAGCACCACACAGCTCCTTGCTCACTCCTTCCCCCTCAGGAATGGGAAGGAGAAATATATCAAAAGGCTTGGGAGTCAGTTTAAGGATGGGGAGGGATGACTCACCATTATGGTCATGTGCAGAAGACAGACTCATTAGGGGAAGAAAAAGGACATCAATTTAATTCAAACACTAACACCACCACAGGAGGTGGTAGAGTTAGGACAGTGAGAAGTATTACCACATCTCAAAAACACCTTCTTTCTCACCCCTCTCTTCTTCCCAGGCTTAGTTTGGCTCCTGATTTCTGTATGGGGTTATGGTCAGTCCACTACTCCTAAGAAGGAGAAATTCTCACATTTCCCCCTGCTGCAGTCTGGGGTCCCTTTAATGGAAGACAGTCCTCCATAAACTTTCTACAACATGAGTCCTTCCCATGGGATGCAACTCTTCCTGAGCTGCTCCAGCATGGGTCCTTCCCATGTGTTGTAGTTCAGCACTGGGAAGACTACAACAGTGAGGGCTTCCCATAGAGTCCTGACCTTTGTTGGACACAGTCACCTGCTCTGGCGTGGGGTCTTGCATAGGCTGCAGGTTGGCATCTGCCACCAGTGACCTCCATGTGCAAGGGCACAGCCTGCTCTCTCACCATGGGCTGCAGCGGAGTGCCCCCCCCCCGCTCCCCCTGACCTTCATATTTGCATAGGTTTCTCCTTCACAACTCAAACTCCTCCTCCCATGTTCTCCTTTTTAAATATGTTATCATAGAGGTGCTGCAACCATCACTAATTGGCTCAGCCTTGGCCCAGAGGCAGGTCCTACTTGGAGCTGGGGGAGCTTCGCAAAGTTTCTCACAGGGGACCACTGCTGTAGCCCCCTCCCCTGCTATCAAAAACCTCTGCTGCATACAGAAACCAAACACACATTTTTTTGCCTCAGTGAAAATTCTGATTAGATGTTAGAATTCCTGGGTACTGTAATAATGTCACAGATTGTATTGCAGGAAGATGGACTTCTTCAGGTGCTCTGAAGGAGCTTTATCTTGATATTTTTTTAATCATTTCTCCCACCCTTCCTCAAGACTCAGACTAGTATAGGAGCCCATACATGAACACTGAAAACAAAAAGCCCTAGTGATTTCTGGCTATACACATATTCACTCTTGTGCCATCTAGTTGATATATTTGTCTTTCAGGAGTCAATGTATGACCTAGTATTAATTTTGAAACAAGATGGGATCTTGCTTTGAAGCAAGCAGAGCAATGGCAGTGCTATTTTTCTTCAGTCCCCACAAAAAACACTGGAAAAAACTTTCACACACACCCCAAGAGTGATATGCTGCAGTAACAGGGACAGAGCTTAAAATAAAATGCAAAGTCTCATATGTAGTGACAAGTGGCCTTTTAAGCACAAATCCAATTAGTTTATTTCTGATGGGTCAAAGAGTAGAATTGGAATAGGCCTGTATAAAGAACAGGAATGTGCTTACCAGGCAGTCATTGTACTTTTGTTTCTTTTGTAGGACAGTTTGTCAGGACAATGGAGAAGTTCATAGCAAACTTTCCAGTTTTCTTTCTCCTGAAAAAGAATCCCAAGCTGTTACAATGCTTTATGATTTTAAGCATGTGGCTTCCACATTACGCCCACCATTTTAAAGTGGTTGTGCTGGCGAAGAAAGCAATACAAATTATTAGTAGAACTCTCTACTCAAATCATATAGTGTTACTGTGATAAAACTACAGAACAAGTATATATACCTTCACTTGTCAGTTCAGGTCCTTATGTGACAGAAGATCCTGCCACCTTTTGTGCCAAAGCCCTAGGCAAAGGAAGCTACTTAAGTAATGGTTTCCTTGATAATCTGTAGTGTGAGGTCTGACTGCTTTTACCAGAAATCAGCTTGAGGCTTTTAAGATTTTTTTTTTTTTTTTTTTTCCCAACTGCTTGAACAACATCTGTCTGGTAAGTGCATACCTTGATAAGTCAGAGCATGATAGAATAGTCTAGTTTGTTTGG